TTTGTTGGCAATGACAGAGCTCAAATGTTTTTTGTAAGTCTTCACAAGGTTTTCACACACGGTTGCTGGTATTTTGGCCCATTCCTCCATGCAGATCTGTGATTATCTGGATTTTTTTATTCTCATTCTGTCTCCCATAGTTGAGGTATACCTATGATGAAAATTACAGGCTTCCCTCATCTTTTTAAGTGGGACAACTTGCACAACTGGAGGCTGACTAAATACTTTTTTTTCCCAGTTTACATACATAGTGCATTTTGTTTAAGCCAGCTTCAACAGTTAAACTTCTCAAAGGACCAGCTCATAATACTCATTCACTTTCTCATATGACACTACTTATTATAGTCAATACATATATATTAGGGCTGGGCGATATAAACAGTATAAAAGGTATGCAATAAAAATTTGGTCAACGAAAGAGATTTTTGTTTTACCGGCATATTGCGATAGGTCATCATGTCATCAAATTGCACGGGGCCCAACGGAGTCACTCCTTCAAGCTAGGTACTCTGTCTGGCCCTGGTGGGACTTGAAGCTAACCCGGCGCCGATTGCCTAGCTAGCGCAGACTCTGGCGCTAAGAGAACACACCAAAACAAACGGTATTAGCCTGCAGCATTAGCCAGTAGCATTAGCCAGCAGAATTAGCCAGTAGCATTAGCTAGCAGCATTAGCCAGTAGCATTAGACAGTAGCATTAGCCAATAGCATTAGCCAGTAGCATTAGCCAGTAGCATTAGCCAGCAGCATTAGCCAGCAGCATTAGCCAGCAGCATTATCCAGCAGCATTAGCCAGTAGCATTAGCCAGTAGCATTAGCCAGCAGCATTAGCCAGCAGCATTAGCCAGTAGCATTAGCCAGTAGCATTAGCCAGTAGCATTAGCCAGCAGCATTAGCCAGTAGCATTAGCCAGTAGCATTAGCCAGTAGCATTAGCTAGCAGCATTAGCCAGTAGCATTAGACAGTAGCATTAGCCAACAGCATTAGCCAGCAGCATTAGCCAGTAGCATTAGCCAGCAGCATTAGCCAGCAGCATTAGCCAGTAGCATTAGCCAGTAGCATTAGCCAGTGCCATTAGCCAGTAGCATTAGCCAGTAGCATTAGCCAGTAGCATTAGCCAGTAGCATTAGCCAGCAGCATTAGCCAGCAGCATTAGCCAGTAGCATTAGCCAGTAGCATTAGCCAGCAGCATTAGCCAGCAGCATTAGCCAGTAGCATTAGCCAGTAGCATTAGCCAGCAGCATTAGCCAGCAGCATTAGCCAGCAGCATTAGCCAGCAGCATTAGCCAGTAGCATTAGCCAGCAGCATTAGCCAGCAGCATTAGCCAGTAGCATTAGCCAGTAGCATTAGCCAGCAGCATTAGCCAGCAGCATTAGCCAGCAGCATTAGCCAGCAGCATTAGCCAGTAGCATTAGCCAGCAGCATTAGCCAGTAGCATTAGCCAGTAGCATTAGCCAGTAGCATTAGCCAGTAGCATTAGCCAACAGCATTAGCCAGCAGCATTAGCAAGCAGCATTAGCCAGCAGCATTAGCAAGCAGCATTAGCCAGTAGCATTAGCCAACAGCATTAGCCAGTAGCATTAGCCAGTAGCATTAGCCAGCAGCCAGCAGCATTAGCCAGCAGCATTAGCCAGTAGCATTAGCCAGTAGCATTAGCCAGCAGCATTAGCCAGCAGCATTAGCCAGTAGCATTAGCCAGCAGCATTAGCCAGCAGCATTAGCCAGCAGCATTAGCCAGTAGCATTAGCCAGCAGCATTAGCCAGCAGCATTAGCCAGTAGCATTAGCCAACAGCATTAGCCAGCAGCATTAGCCAGCAGCATTAGCCAGTAGCATTAGCCAGTAGCATTAGCCAGCAGCATTAGCCAGCAGCATTAGCCAGTAGCATTAGCCAGTAGCATTAGCCAGCAGCATTAGCCAGCAGCATTAGCCAGCAGCATTAGCCAGCAGCATTAGCCAGCAGCATTAGCCAGTAGCATTAGCCAGCAGCATTAGCCAGCAGCATTAGCCAGTAGCATTAGCCAGCAGCATTAGCCAGCAGCATTAGCCAGCAGCATTAGCCAGCAGCATTAGCCAGTAGCATTAGCCAGCAGCATTAGCCAGTAGCATTAGCCAGCAGCATTAGCCAGCAGCATTAGCCAGTAGCATTAGCCAGTAGCATTAGCCAGCAGCATTAGCCAGCAGCATTAGCCAGCAGCATTAGCCAGCAGCATTAGCCAGTAGCATTAGCCAGCAGCATTAGCCAGTAGCATTAGCCAGTAGCATTAGCCAGTAGCATTAGCCAGCAGCATTAGCCAGTAGCATTAGCCAGTAGCATTAGCCAGTAGCATTAGCCAGTAGCATTATCCAGTAGCATTAGCCAGTAGCATTAGCCAGTAGCATTAGCCAGCAGCATTAGCCAGCAGCATTAGCCAGTAGCATTAGCCAGTAGCATTAGCCAGTAGCATTATCCAGTAGCATTAGCCAGTAGCATTAGCCAGTAGCATTAGCCAGTAGCATTAGCCAACAGCATTAGCCAGCAGCATTAGCAAGCAGCATTAGCCAGTAGCATTAGCCAGCAGCATTAGCCAGCAGCATTAGCCAGCAGCATTAGCCAACAGCATTAGCCAGTAGCATTAGCCAGTAGCATTAGCCAGCAGCATTAGCCAGCAGCATTAGCCAGCAGCATTAGCCAGCAGCATTAGCCAGTAGCATTAGCCAGCAGCATTAGCCAGTAGCATTAGCCAGTAGCATTAGCCAGTAGCATTAGCCAGCAGCATTAGCCAGTAGCATTAGCCAGTAGCATTAGCCAGTAGCATTAGCCAGTAGCATTATCCAGTAGCATTAGCCAGTAGCATTAGCCAGTAGCATTAGCCAGCAGCATTAGCCAGCAGCATTAGCCAGTAGCATTAGCCAGTAGCATTAGCCAGTAGCATTAGCCAGTAGCATTAGCCAGTAGCATTAGCCAGTAGCATTAGCCAGTAGCATTAGCCAACAGCATTAGCCAGCAGCATTAGCAAGCAGCATTAGCCAGCAGCATTAGCAAGCAGCATTAGCCAGCAGCATTAGCCAGCAGCATTAGCCAGTAGCATTATCCAGCAGCATTAGCCAACAGCATTAGCCAGCAGCATTAGCCAGCAGCATTAGCCAGTAGCATTAGCCAGCAGCATTAGCCAGCAGCATTAGCCAGTAGCATTATCCAGCAGCATTAGCCAACAGCATTAGCCAGTAGCATTAGCCAGCAGCATTAGCCAGCAGCATTAGCCAGTAGCATTATCCAGCAGCATTAGCCAACAGCATTAGCCAGCAGCATTAGCCAGCAGCATTAGCCAGTAGCATTAGCCAGTAGCATTAGCCAGTAGCATTAGCCAGTAGCATTAGCAAGCAGCATTAGCCAGCAGCATTAGCAAGCAGCATTATCCAGCAGCATTAGCCCAGCCAGCGTGGGCTGCAGCATCATCACAGCAAAAGTTGGAGTCAGATTCGGACTTCCGCGGTCAATGCACGAAAGCTAGTTTGTTAAACAAAAGTAACTCCACTCCTCATTGTGTTTCCGACTCACCCCCTCCCTGACCCCGCCCCCCTCTGACAGCCACATTGGGCCGGCAGTCGGAGGTGCTCATCCCGAGAAAAAAATCTGTGGTTTATAAAAAGCACAATGTGTCTATCCAACTGTCTGTGAAACTGTATGTTATTGCTCTCTGCTGTTTATTCTACTGTTTGGCACTAAACAGTGCACTAACTGTGCCAAAATCATCAAATTTACATCAATTGTTCAAATCCAATGCCCTGTTAGAAATCTATTGCTGCAAGCGCCGAGAAAAGCGCTTATGGAGCGTCAACAAATGTCAAGACCAGCTTTGTAAACGAACACTAGCTTTTATGTGATGCTATGTACACGCACTAAACTCTCAGACATTGTAAATAACGAACAAATCTAACTGCTACAGAGTTTTGTGAGTTTTGTTTACAATTTAAATGAATACATACGTTTTTCTTTTTTTAATTAGCTTTTTCAGTAAACGGTCTTTACTGTAACATACATAAATAAAAACGGCTTCTTGACCGAGCAAGCGAGATTAATACATGTTTTATTACATGACTATTTTTAATTTATGCAAATATCGATCGGTTTCAACTAGCAAAAACACATGCAACCAAACTGTCAAATCGTGTGTTTATTTACACAAGAAATCCACATTCATTTGACATTGATTTGAAAACATGCCAAACTCAACGAAAGCAAACAAGTGTCAAATGTTTTCAATCTTCCTCATCGCTCTCGATGACAAATTGTCGTCTTTTCCCCTGATGGATTGTGACAGGGCCGTTGTAAATCTTAAAGCTGCATCCTGAAATATCACGGACTCCCGAAAAGAAAGCTGACACGTCAGATGTTCGTGTCATTGCAGCATTTTCACCGGCGGCACGAACCAAAGATGTGCTTGTTGCTGGTGGTGAAGGCTGGATATCTTTTGACGCATTGGCCGAAGTAGGAAAAGTAGGCACCAAAGCTGTACCGACCTGCTGAGAGTCAACGACATGGCTTTCTGATGCTGCTCGCTCGCTGTTTTGTAGGACTGCAGGCTTTCAGTGGATTTGTGGCCACTCAACTGTGCCAAAGTTTTCTGGGACATTTGCATCCAGGAGGCAGGATATGCTAGTCTTTCTAACTGAAGGATTGGAAACTTTTGCTCCTCTACCTTGACGGATTCCAGTATTTTGGGCAGCTACGGTATGGAATTTCCCAATCTGATTCTTACCGAGTGGAGACGTCTTATACCACACTAGATCATTGATCACCCGTGTTTGCTTGACCGCCAGGAAAAATGGCAAATCCGGAGAATTCATTTCCATAGGCCGATGAACTGTAAACTTGTTGTAGTATGAAGGTGGCATAAATCTTTGGCTGGAAAGCTCTCTTGTGCCTTTTTTCTCTGCCAGTGCGAGTTTTTGTTACGCGCTCACTCAGCCAAACAAGCATTTCATCGCCATTGTTTGCCGTTTGCCACTGAACATCTCCTCAGCATAATTTGTGTCTTTCGTCTCTTGCATGAAATCCGATGTGGAGGGACATGTACCACCAAAGAGTTCTCTGCAGGACCTCTGGGTTGTGATCTCTGAACTGGCCGCTGGAAAACAACGCCTCTTCGTCCTCATAGGTTAAAAACTTTGTCGCATGAGGCTTGTTTCCTTTGCCGCTTTGGACGAGAGACTTTCGCTTTGCTGCAATGGCTGTTCGCGAAGAGTCGAATTCCTTATCCTTGAGGATGCTCAGATTGGACTTCTCTTCTAAATACCGCTGTATGCTTCTCTGGAAGGCACTGATTGTATTTGGTTCGTAGTCAGACCCGTCAGCTTTCTTGACCTGCATGAAGAACTTGCTTATCAGATGATTGAGGTCGCCCACTGGTAAGTTCTCAATCTCTTCTGTGTCTTTACCAATGGTTTTGAGATATTTGTGAAGTATGTTCATGACCGCCTTGGTTTTCCTTATCGTGTTTTTAGCTTTCTGGTCTGCAACAAAGTTTTCAATCTCTTCTTGATTGTTAGTTGTGTTTTCGTCGTTATTTTCTGTAATTACTTCCTCTGGCTCTTCGAACTCGTCCGGATAATAGAATTCACTGGGAGAATGCTCCCAGTCGTCGCCCATTATTTCTTTTTTTACCGAGGAAATGGTAACGGTCTGAGGAAAGATATCAAATATGATACGCGGTGCGGACCGATTGTCATGGTAACGGTCCGAGATGGGAAAATATCAGACCGCAAATCAACCAATCAGAGCGCACGTACAATCAAAGTCATATAATAATTTTTCTCAAGAGTTCCACCTGTTTATTTAATTTCATTTTTGACATGATTTTTATTTTTTTATTTTTTATATGGTGTCAATACATTAATTTGCATTTCAAAAGCATTGTGTCTCTTTAATATGGAATAATATAATATGCTAAACATGTATTAAATACTGGATGAAATACTGGTGATTTTGTTTGTTGAAACTGGACATACCTGATTTTCAAACTCAAATAATATATATATTAGATTCTAATATTAGATATATATTAGATTCTACTATATATTAGTATATTAGTTGGGACACAGTCTACCGCCTGTGTCCCAAATTATACCGCAATATGAATTATAGGCCATATCGCCCACCCCTAATATATATACAGTTTATATAAAAAATCACATCACATGCAGAGTAAACAACAACTTGTCCGTTATTGACATCTTGATTTTCAAATTGTTTTCCTCAAACCTAAAATTGTGGTATTTTCTGTCCATATGGAGCGTCATAGCTGGCAGTTCTCAATAACACAGGGTTTTTTACATGACTGGTTGTTTGGAGGGTCAGCCATTGAACCGTGCTTTATTGGTGTGTGCAGAGCAGCTGGGATCGGTTCATCAGTCTGGAGTAGACTCCAGAGTGTTTCATATGGTTGTGACTGATAGCATTTCAACTCTGAAGAGAGGCCAAAACAAGGACAGATCAAATTAGCTCAACAACATGAGAACAAAGATCGGGTAATGAACGGACAATGTAAGCGTCTCCTTGATTTGATGCACTGAGCTGTGAATGCCAGGTGTGCATGGGAGGGGGGCAGATGAAATATTAGCTCTATCAGAATTAAAACCAAAAAAAGATTGAATGAAGACCATTTTAAGGATCTTGCCAAAATGTGTGTCCGGCGTTTGATATTTGTTGTGAGTTGTAGGTTCTGAGCGCTGAAACACGATTCGGAGCCATGCATACACAAAAATAGGAAGGACAAAGCATGTTTATTCATTTAACACAGTTCATACACAAGGCAACTCAAAGTGCCATGTCTCCTACTTGCAGATGTGGAGTTTGGTTTGAGGACCACATGTTTAATTCTTTTCTATTTGCAGATGATGTTGTCTGGTTGGCATCAACAAACTAGGACTTTCAACATGCACTGGGACGGTTTGAAGCTGAGTCTGAAGTGGCAGGGATGAAAATCAGCACCTCCAAATCCGAGGCCATGGCGCCTTGCCCTCTGGATAAAGGATGAAGCGTGAGATTGACAGTTGGAAGAGGGAGCTGCATTGTAAGGTGACGCTCTAGATTTACCGGTCAGTGTACAAGCCCACCCTCACCTATGATCATGAGCTTTGGTGTAATGAACTTGAGATTGCAGATACATGTGGTGAAATGCGTTTCTGTGGAAAACTCAAGACATACTGGAGGGAATCTCAGGATTGCCTTGGATGAGCAGGAGGACGTATGTGTAGATACGGAAGTGTGGGCGTGTCTGCTCGGATAGAGAAGAGGAAAATTTATGTACTTTGGTGTTTCATTGGCATAATTGGAAGTTCCTTGGCGGTACGGAGGCTGAGTGGATGGCACTCTCGCTTCTCAGCAAGAAGGTTCTGGGTTCGAATCCCGGTCGGAACAGGGTCTTTCTGGTTGGACATAGCATGTTCTCCCCTTGTCTGCGTAGGTTTCCTCCGGGTACTCCAGTTTCCCTTTCCACTAAAAACATGTATGATAGTTCAGAGTGAATAAATGAGATAACAGATGCAAGTAGTTTAATTTGACCATCATAAAGCATAATGTCCAGGCTCACTTAATCTTTTTTTCTGATCATGGACAAGGAGCTATGGACTGCCGCCTATGAGAAAATAATTGATGTAATCACCAAATATATATAGCTGAATACATTTACAGTAAATCCAAAGGGACACTCTACAATGTGAACTCTATATGGCAGTATAATTACTGTATGTATTGCATCTCAATATTAACATTTTAAGATGGCATAAACTATTTGCTCTCTTCTTTGAATATGGCCTGACCACAACCACACGGGACTGGACACAGCTAAATGCATACAACGCTGTGAAGATACAGGCTTTTAAAGATGGTGGCACATACAAGCTGAAATTGTAAGGTGCGTCGCTTTCATTAAGACTGGAACATCAAACAGTCCGCAGAGAGATAATCCTGGCCTGTTTCCCCGCGCTCCGGCTCTCAGCCATAATCAAAGAATACAGGTAGATGCTCAGGAAGTTAATCCTGCAGATTAGTGGGAGTGCATATAAAACGTAGTGAGAGAAGGGGAGCAAAAACACTTCACCGGTTGCAGATCAAAATGGAGTAAGCGAAAGATTGAAACATGCAGTGAAAAGAGGGTACGACAGGAGTAGGCAATGACAAATTAGTGAAAGCACATGTGGAATAATTCGTAAAAATAAAGTGTTTTACATTTGGAAAAGGAATATGGTATTGAGTGAAAGTAAGGTACGATGAAGATGGCTTGTCGCCTGCATGATTACTTAAACTCTGGCCACTCTGACCCTCACTGACTTTGTTCATATCTTCATCTTATCAAGAATGGATTATTTAAACGGACTTTTCCCTGCAATATTTTCAAAACAGTGCCACCAAATTCTCAAGGGAGTATGGAAGTATACTCACTTCATTGGCTTTACCTGCGGGCTCTCCACAATGGGGAACACAGCTCTCAGCTCTAGTGCACCAACGCTGTGGAGCAGCCGTCCAACTGAGCTGAGAGATGTCCCAAGCTTGAATGCTTTTAGAACAAGCATAAATATTGGTCTTATTTATTTGACTGGCTTATAATTTTCAACATTAGGCCCATGCAACACTTTAGTTTTGACCTTTGCAGCTATTTTTCTATATTTTGTGTTTACTTGCTTATCCTGCAGCACTTTGAGATTCTGTGGAATGAGAGGGGCAATATGAAAAACAAGTATTTTGGTTATCACTGGCAATTTTGAAGAACAGAGTGTAATTTGAAATCATAATTTGTTAAATAAAGCCATCATTATTACATAAGAAAATGTTGTTGCTAGTGTCCGTGTATGTCAATAATGCAAATCTATCTTGTGCTGCAGCTGGATGCTGGATTTTGCCAAAGAAACTGGCGGCCAAAATGATTCCGATGAAGTGATTACCCTTTATGATGTGACATTAAGAATTTAGTGTAATGATTGTGATCAGAAAAAGTCTAAATATGATTTGGACATTGTATCTGGGAACGCAGATCAAAGATGCAGATACATTTACATATAGATCTATAGTAGATACAAATATATGTATCTACTGTCCCTTTAAGTGCTATAGACCTTTAAGACTATAGACCTATTCATATCAACCATTTTGTCTTGCCCAAAAAATGAATAAACATGAGTAGAAAACTTAGGACACTGCTGCAGTTAAATGTACAACTGTACAGAAGCCATTGACAGGAAGAAGCTGAGTGTCAAAGAAGTGCAAATCAAGGAGACTAATCCATAGCTCCAACTCCAGCTGTCACCCCAGTCTTTGGCATCAGAGGGTTTTTTAATAGTATCGATCATGTAATGGTTGATCCAGTCACAAGATCAATTGGTCTGCCTAACCCTGTCATGTTCATGAAATCCAGTCCAACACACATGGCAAAGAAAGAAGCAAACTATAAAGAAAAGTCAATGTAATAGTAGTGGTAAGACTGGTATTATCATCACAGCACTGTGGGAGTGTCAGTGCATGCGGCTGCAGGGAACCTGCTGAATACATGATGTTGTGTTCTGTTATCAAACACAATTATTTTTTTTTGTGAATCATGAATGACATCCACCTTTTTTATATAGGAGATAATGCTTTTTCCTTCTTTACAGATTGGTCAAACTGTGTTCATGGATCAGCTCTGCATTGTCCTGAAAGTGTATGGTTTTGGGGTTTGACATAGAGGTTTTTGAAACTCCTCTGCTGATTGCACACACTGCTGTTGATGCACTGATCGTTATACGTTAGACACATTTTAATCTGTAGGAACATTATTTTCTCTTCTCATTTTCACAGTCATTGTAATTAAGTAAACTTTGCTTCTTTATCTTTATGTTTGTGTAAGCCCTCAGTCGTACAGGGATTAGTCAAAGCAAAGGAAGGTTTCTCACCCATCATCTGTACTTCTTAGCAGGTTTTCCCGACGTTTCGTCCTCAAACTAGCGGACTTCTTCAGGGAATGAATTCTCAAACCGCGCGTTGGAGATTTATAACCTATGGGTGTGGTTAGCCACACCCTAATCCTGATACTAACTCATAAACAATCTAAGGTCTGCTTGATGTAGAAGGGAGCAGGTCTAACGACCCTGCTGAGGCTAACGACCCTAACTCCTTAGCATGTCAGACCTATTGTCTGCTGAGATGCTCTTTATCTTTATCTTCATCTGTCAATGAAGATACGTATGCTTGTGTGTACTGGTATACCTAATGCTCCGGTTTCCTTCGTGTGCTTTCCCCTCCCACTAAAAATATGTACAATAGGTCTGGCATGGACCTCCTGTATGACGACCACACTCCTGTGTGTGCGAGTGAGAGGACAAATGCCCACAACAAGT